AGGATCAGAACAGACTTACTCAGCTCATTCAATCTTATTTTAGTAAGAAATAATTTTTAAAAAAGAGTGGGTTGATTGTTAACCACAATATTTCATTTTAATGGTAACAAGCCTGACTGGGGTATACTGAAAGTTCAAACATTTCTTGTAAATATTTTGACCCAAAAGGTAGGTGGCATGATAAGTGTAGTATTTTGAAAAATTAGTTTTTTTTTTTGCTGTATGTGTTTTTATTTTTGACAATTTTTTTACATGTAGAAAAGCAAGGGCAATCATATTCTTCCCACATTGCCACTTTCTACCCCTGTCCCATGTCTGCTGGCTGCCTTCTTTTTCCCTGGTGCTCCCCCCTAACGTGAGTGGTTTTTGTATGTTCAGGTCTTTAAAGTAGCATTAATGCTGGAGAGATGGCTCAGTGGTTAAGCGCACTAGCTGCTCTTGCAGAGGACCTGAGTTCAGTTCTCAGTACCTACATGGCGACTAACAACCATCTATAACTCCAGTTCCAGGGGATTCAATGCCTCCTTCTGATTTCTGTGGGCATTGCATGACATGGGTGTACTTACATATATGCAGGCAATACACTCATACACATAAAATAAAAATAGTAAATAAGCCAGGTGTAGTGGTGCACACCTTTAATCCCAGTGCTTGGGAGGCAGAGGTAGGTGGACTCTGAATTCAAGGCCAGCCTGGTCTACAGGAGTTCCAGGCTAGCTGGGGCTAAAGGGAGACCCTGTCTCAAAAAGACAAAAAATAAATAAATAAATAAATAAATAAATAAATAAAATATTTAAAAAATTAACATTAAATTAATGGGTTTCACTGTAACATTTTACACTGCTATTTTTGTTGATTGATATTTCCTGCCTGTCCCCACTTCTGTGAGTCCCCTTCCTGCCTGCAGTGGCCCACTCTTCTTACCATGTCACATATATACTACTAACCTCTCCCCATCAAAACGTTTTCTTCCCTCTCCCATGGTCAACTTTCTAGTTTCATAGCCTGAACTCATATCATCCACATAAGTGTACACATACATAAAAGCCAAATATGAGCAAGGTTCCAGGAGTTTCTAAGACTGTTTTCTTATGGACATGCACCTCCTTCCCTGGTTCTTACACGCTTTCTGCCCCGACTCCTGCAATGACTAATATCATAATACTCCGACCTTGACAAAAGATATTTTCAAATGAAACAGAAATTTGAAAATCAAGAATAAGTTAATAACATCTTTAAGTTCAAACATACCATTTGCCTAAGTAATGGTTAATGAAAGATGCTAAGTAACAAATTTTATGTGTGAGACTTTACTTGATTATTTTGATCCAAGGGCAACAGCACTAGGAATCATCAGTGTTGCTGGTAGTATTGGGGCAGCCTTGGCTCCCCTGTTTATGATCCTCACGACATATTCTGCATCCTTACCCTGGATCATCTACGGAGTCCTCCCCATCCTTGGTGGTCTTCTTGTCCTTCTCCTTCCTGAAACCAGGAATCAGTCTCTGCCTGACTCCATCGAAGATGTGGAAAATGAGTGAGTAAAAGCTCTGCCTGCTTCTTAGGAGAATTGTATGCTAACAGTCTGTAATGAGGAGGGCAAAGTAGCACCGAGAACCACGCTCAAGTCCTTTGGAAGGTATTACACTTTTTCCCAATGCTGATGGGAAGAGATGCTCTTGTTCTAACGAGTGCAGGGAAAACCCGTTTTGCCCATGTCTTTTCAAGTTTTGTTTATATGTTTATGGTGTTTGCTGTATGTGTTCCAGGGAGAAAGCTAAAGACAAGCAAAGCAGGAAGATGCTTTCACCAAATCCATGCAGTTTTAAAGAGCTCCAGGAATTGGCTTCTGATTGATCAAGATGAAAAAAAATTAAGCCAAGATACGATTACTCAGGATGATGACCCAGGATTATTTATAGATACTAGCAAAATTTTCTGTAAATGATGAAGTACAAAATATGGATTACATTTAAATTTGTTATACTAAAGTATTATCCAGAATACCTATGATTAATTTCAGGGAGGCATTTGTAAAATGCCACAGCACTGAAAAAACTTGACAGAATGTTTTTATGGACTGAAATTGCTATGATAGCGATCATCTTTCTGGGTAGGATGTGTGTTAACCTTCCCATTGCTCTGACGTAATACCTAAGAAATACCTGAGGAAACTAACTTAACTAACTTGTTACTCATTTCATTGCTTTCGATCGCTGGTCACTTGGCTGCGTTATTTCAGGGTTTGTGTGAGGCAGCACGTGATGGCAGAACAGTACTCTGGAGGACAGCAGTTCATTTTGTGGTGGCTAGGAAAGTGAGAGAGAGAGAGAGAGAGAGAGAGAGAGAGAGAGAGGCACAAGGAGGAGGAAAAGGAGGTTAAAAGAGAGAAGTAGAAGAGTTGGGACAAGGCAAGAACAAAATATACCCTTCAAAGGCATAGGTTACCCCCAGTAACCTGTTGCCTCCAAGTAGCCCACCCTCACCTTGGCAAAAGTTTTCAGTTTTTTCACTATAGTACCAACAACAGGAAACCAATCCGTCAACAAATGAAAATGAAAGGCATCTAGATCCAAACTGCAAAGAGAAGAGAAGGTTGGTTTCAAAACTAAGCGAAAGGAGGCTGGAGAGATGGCTTAGTGGTTAAGGGCACTGGGCACTTTTTCAGAGGACCTGGGTTTAGTTCTCAGCACCCACATGGTGGCTAATAACCACTTATAACTCTAGTTCCAGGAGATTCTATGCCCTCTTCCGACCTCCATGGGTATTGGCATGCACAGATGTACTTACACATATGCAGGTAAAACACTCACACATAAAATAAAATAAATAAATTAACTCCAGGGAAAGTCATTAGTGGATTAGGAATAATTAACAATACTAGACTTGTGAAATATTTGAAAAATATTCTGTTTATCTAAAGATTAATAATACTGTGTAAGTCTGTTTTCTGTTGCTTATCTCACAAGGCAGAATGTATTTGGTCATCACCCAGAGTCTCCATAGCCATCACATTCCAGTATCACACAAATGTCAAAGTCCAAAGACTTCTCTGAATCTCAGGGCAAATCCGTAGCCACAAAACCATGTAACAAAGAAAACTCGAGATCAACATGATGATTTCCAGTACCACCCATTTCCCTCCAAGCGACAATATTTCATTTTCCTTACAGCTGAATCTCAGTGGCCTGCCCTTGTAATCTTTTTATAGCTTGGATCTGCCTTCCAAAGCTTTGCAGACTTTTCAATGTGGTTCCACCAGGTGGAGGCCAAGTATTCAAAATATGAGCCCGTGGTAAGCATCTCAGATTCAAAGCATGATAAATTGTGATCACTGTTATCAGGATCTGGGTCTCATTTATATGACTGCATTATATAGTTTGTTGTGCTGTGTAACAGGGTGAAAATTGGGTGATTTTGCATGGGATAGGTAAAGTTTACGTGAAGAACTCCAAATGGTGGTTATTGTCCAGAGGGGATTCTCTTGTGGCTAAAAAAAAAAAGCCTATAAATTAATTGTTATCCCTTGCATCAAGAGATACAGATTAATACCAACTTAATTATGAGTAGAAAAAGTCAGTTGCTCCATTTTAATGAATGGAATGAAGCAATGGATGATATGTTGGCCTCTGAACACGAAAACATAGAAAGATATTGAGAGCGATTCATTAGTTCTACTCCCTGTGACAGGTCATTCTCCCATTGGGAGAAGCCACCATAAATTAACAATTATGATTTATTCAAACGTAGTTAAGAACACTCTATCAAAAGATGCCTCACCTATCTTGAAAGTGAATTTTAGACCTTGAAACTGTCAGGATGCATCTTTATATGACCTTGGGAGTTTCTGTCTGGCCTACAGTTTCCAGGGCATCATAGACTTTTTTTTTTTTTTTTCATATATTTTATGCCTCACCTATCTTGAAAGTGAATTTTAGACCTTGAAACTGTCAGGATGCATCTTTATATGACCTTGGGAGTTTCTGTCTGGCCTACAGTTTCCAGGGCATCATAGACTTTTTTTTTTTTTTTTACATATATTTGACTTTAAAATTGTGGAAAGGGAGGGATTAAGGTTGGCAGAGTGTTTTGAAGCCTAAAGTCATAAATCTCATTTAGAGATCATTTAATTTCATCTTAATAATATTCATTGGGTTTAATAAACTTCTTTTTGATCATATAAGGTTGAGTCAGTGTTATGAACAGTAAAGTATATGATGGAGCTTGAGAACATTTATTATTGAGTAGAGGACAATGGTACAGCCTCTCCAAAGGCATCTAAGCTGGCATAACATTGTCCAATTTCTACTCCATATGCATTTATTTCTTCCAAGGAACTGTATCCCCAAAGAAGAATTTCATGTTTTTATAGTAACAGAAAGAAGAAAACCACAAATCATGACATCTTTCAAATACCAATCTTAGGTCCATACCTTAAAGGTTCCAAGTCAGAATCCTATAAAAAAAACTTGCATATTCATCTTTATTGTGACACTAATCACAGTTTCCAAGTATAATAGGCCTTACTGGTCACTGACAGTTGAATGAATAAAGAAAATGTGGTATGTATATACTCAAAGAAGTCTTACTCAGCTGTAAAGAAAAGTGAAATTTCATCATTTTCAAGGAAATGAATGGAACTAGAGATCTTCATGCTTAGAAACAAAATTTTGTTTGATACAGGGTTTGTGGCTTAGAATTTGCCCTGATTGGGAGGAGTCTTTGAACTTGGACCTTTTTTGTACAAGTTTCATCGAATCTTTGTGTATTTAATACAAAACATATTAATTATCTATATACCCTCTTTCCCATTGGCACCCTCCCATGCACCCCCATCAAATTTCATGCATTCAGTCATTTACATTAAGGCCTATCAAGTCAAGTTAGTGTACCCAGATGTCCTTCAATGCAAATTCATCCACTGGGGTCTAATTCAACCTATCTAGAGTCACTCCCTTAAAGAAGATCAACTCTCTTTCCCCCAGCAGTAACCAGTTGCCAATAGTTCTTTGGCTAAGATTGGGGCCTGTTACTCAGTTCCCCAGTTCTATGCTGGGTTTTTGTCTGCTTGAGTCTGCATGGGTCTTGTGTATGCTGACTCTGTTACTGTAGGTTCATATGAGCAAGGTCCCAGAAGCCTATAAGAATCTGTTTCCATATGGTCATGCACCTCTTTTCCTGGCTCTTACAATCTTTTCGCCCCCTCTTCTACAATGGTCCCTGAGCTCTGGCTAGGTGAATTTTAATACAGGAGTCCTATCTAGGCACCCACACTCTGCCAACTCTAGCCTCTATGCTTTAGCAATTTGTGGTCTTTTGTTGAACATGGACTTTTGAGAAGTATAGAACTGTATTTTTAAGGGAACTCTGAGTGATGGACTGAATGCCTTCTGTATTGTGAGGTAAACATGGACTTTTTAGCTGGGGTTAGGGACTGTTATAGTTTGAATCATGGGTGTGTCCAAAGTCTCAAGTGTTAAAGTATTGGAAACCAACAGGGGGGCAGTACTGAGAAGTTATAGAAATCAGAGTGTGGCATCTTAGAAGAAGTTAGGTCACTTTTAATGTGGTGTTTCAGAAATTACTGGGAATCTGTTCTTTTCCTCTCTTTGACTTATGACCATTGTAAGGTAAGCAGCATAGAAATATCATATCCCATCCAACATGATGCTCTTCCTTACAACAGGACGAGGCAACGGAAGACACAATTGTGGGCAGAATTCTCTGAAACTGATGCAAAATTCGTATTTCTCACATACATTTTTCAATATTTTAAGAGAAAGCATACTCATATATTATTGTTACTCTTTAGGCAAACTTGGAACATGTTTCAAGTTGTTTCAAAAGTGTGCTATTGTCAGCCATCCTTTACCTTGGCTGCCCATGACCCCTTCACTCTTGCATCTTTCATGCCTCTAAAGCCACCACCAGGTGAACAACACTGCCAAGTTTGGCTACAAGTTTGGGATGGACCCCAGCCTGCTTCATTCACTTTTGAAACTTTTCTTTTCAGTGGTTTTCTAGTAGAAAACCCCTACAATATTTTCCTGTCACAAGTTGGAGGCTTAACTAGGTGTGGTCTTGCCCTGGAGGCACTCTCTCCATTGTTTAAGTGCAGAATTCTAGACCTCTCCTTAGTCGGCTCCAACATTAATCTTCCTAGTGTTTTTTCAATCCAAACTATACATTCTGTATTTCTTTCTGCCCCATTTGCTCTTTTTCACTGCAGATCTGCACAATATTCACCATTAATAGCCACAACACCATTTCTTGAAATTTCTTTTGCCAGAGAAATTAGTCTGTTGCTTTATAATTTAGCCTCAGGCAAGCTTTTTGGCTGTGGGCAGACTCCATCCAGACTCTTTTCCAGAATATCAAAATTGCTGCTTAACTCCTCACCTGAGGTCTCAACTGTTCCCTCCTGCATATGTGTATGGGGATGGAA